GTCTGGAGCTGAGTGTCTTCCTGTTGCCTCATGCCAGGCGTTCCTGGCAAGAGGGATGTCGGCCCCGTGCCGCATCCCGGCTGGGCTCTCCTTTCTCATATGCTGTTCTTTTCCCCCAGGGAGTGATTGACTTGGAGGCCTTGGGAAAGAAGGGTTACAGTGTCCCCAAAGCTGGAACCATCCAAGTGGTGAGTTGTTCCCTGGCCTTCGGTCGCGCCGAGGGGAAGGGGGACGGGTGGGCTCCGGTCGCCCTTTGGGGTGGATATGCTCCGTTACGTTGTTTGGCAAGGCAGCAGCCAGAAGGCTTGTGCGGGGGGCCCATGTGGCCACCAAGACAGCACCATGGAGGGGAACGCGGGGACCCCGGGGTGCTGGCAGGAGACAGGGTGATGGGAGATGCAGGGAAGTAAGACAGTGGGAGGGATGGGGTCTTGCCAGGAGAGTTTGTACGTGCAGCGGGGATGGGAGGGAGCATGGGAGCAGAGGTGGGTGGAGGGGTCTAACCTGCGGCCTCAGGCTTAGCCCTCTGGGGCTGGTGTGGGGCTCTCTGCACCCTTGGGCTTACTGGTGCAGCCTCTGGTTACCCCAGCCCTGCCCTACGGATCCATTCCGGTCCTCTTCCCGGTCTCACTCCTTACCCCTCTGCCACCAGACCTTATTTAACCCCAACAAGACTGTGGTGAAGATGTTCTTGGTGACGTACGACTTCCAGGACATGCCAGCCAACCACATGACCTTCCTACGCCATCGCATCTTCCTGGTGCCCGTGGGGGAGGAGGAAGGGGCCACTGTGGCCCCCAGCGACCCAGCAGGCACCAGCCCACCCCGTAGGGTCCTCTGCTACCTGATGCACCTAAGGTAGGGCATGCCAGGAGGGATGGATGCCTGCCCCGGGGTCACCCATGGGCTCTCTCCATGTCTCCCCAAGCCTGCAGGCCGGAGCCAGCAGCCTGACCCCCTCGCCCTGGGTGGGGGCAGGGACCAGCTGCTCCTTTGGGGAGGCCAGAGCTGCCGCCCTGCCCAAGGGCAGCGGTCTCTGTCCCTCTGGGGGCAACCAGAGCG